TAATTTTGATGTGAAACAATTCACATCAAAATTAGCACAGAAACAGTACTATATAACATTTTAGACACATTCTAGACAGTTTATCAGCTAAAAAAAAGTTAATTTTGGGGTAAGTTACTCTTTAAACAGCTCCAGGTACAACAGCGCTCCGAGCTGCGTTTCTTTCTGTTCGAAATTTAGCTGAAATGATCCATTCCCAGTTAAATTAAAAAGACGAACAGCTTTGATGATCAGCTGGTCTGATTTTATGACCTGAATGTGCAATTTGTGTTTACTCCATCAACGTGGACAAAAAATAAAAAATAAAAGCTTCTCCTCCAACCAACCTTTCACTCAACAACACTGATTCAACATTGAGTAAAAACAACTATATTTCCAGCTATCACTGTTGTTTATATCTTCACTATGACACGAGCGCTGCGGGTGGGCAGACGGACAGATTATAATATTTTAGAACCAGCAACGCAGTGGTCCAAAACCAGAGAGACACTCCGGTCCGGTTAACCAGAGAGTCTCCAGATCCGGCCGACKGTGCAGCAGCTGAAGACCATTTTTACAGCTAAATCAACAGGAGGTAAAGAACGATGCTAGGCTACCAACTGCCTGATTCTCAATAGTATCTTATGGACGCACGTCTGTTTTTTGCCGTTCATCATGGAAAAAAGGGGCGGTCTTCTGAGGCGCGTGACGTCACGTGCAAAGGGTCAATATGAGTACAGTCTATTTACCATATTAAGAGACATTTTATGTATTGCTCCCTTACTCATACACATAAACATGCATTTAAATTGTAAGTTGTAAGGAAACAAAAATAAAAACAATACCAAGGGGGTGAACACACATTTRCAACACACTGTAGAATCAAGTATTTTACTTTTTTTACTGTTATTTCAGTGTGGTGTGATCATCATAATGTCTGAGGCCGAAGAAAACAAAATAATATTAATAAACATTAAAATCTTACACCAGAGCAAAGGTTGAAACTGGAAACAGACGTAAAGATGTTTCCTCTCACATCAGGGTCATCTGATTCCTCTGCGTCCTGCAGACCAACTCCTGCTGAACGAGCAGATAGAGCGGGTAAAATAAGTATTGAACACGTCACCATTTTTCTCAGTAAATATATTACTAGAGGTGCTAATGACATGAAATTTTCATCAGATGTCGGTAACA